TAGAGACATCACAACCGAAGCCATGCCCCACTCGGTGTGTGTGCACAGCGGAGCTGCCAGTGGGGAGAGCAGAGGGGCCAGGACGCAGGTGTGGGAGCCGCAGGTGCTCGGATGCGTGCAGTGCTGCTTCTACTCTTGTGGCAGTGGAGACAGAATCCAGGACTGGCATAGGCCAGGAAAGGGCTCTACTCCCAGCTCTGTCTCCAGCCCTTTGGAGATTTCATTTGCTACAGGGTCTCACCAAGGTTCGGACTTGCAGTGCTCCCCACCTTGCACCCCAGATGCCGGATCACAGGTGCCACACCTGGGTCCACACAGCTGCAGGGACTGCAGGTTAAGCAGGGACTGCACACAGATGCATGCATCCGGTTACTCAATTTGTTTCTGGGCGTCCTCTATCTTTGTGAGAACACGGGAAGGAACATAACAGGCAAGAGGAGTGGAAATGTGACTGGAACAGAAGGCAGGACAGTGTTAGACCCAGCTTCTCTCTTTCTCCCTGTCAGCTGTGGCTTCATCTTTCCTGCTGCACTAGCACAAAGGAAGAGCTCTCAAGACCATACAAGGAGGTGCTTTGCTTTCTTACCACGGGGACTGGCTCACACACCTATGCTGCCCTAGGACAAAGTCTGGTCCCTTCAACCCCATGAGCAATTACCACAGTAGGATTTTGATTATAGAGAGCTACAATTTTCCAAAGGGAGAATATTTTAGCCCTTTCTTTTAAATGGTGTTGCTAATATTTCAAGTGCTAATCTATGTTTATGAAACTCAGCCAGTATGCTATTTTTTTTTTCAAGTACTGGACACTGAACCCCAGGCCTTTGCACTGAGCAGCATCTCCAATTCTTTTAAAAATTTTTTTAAATTTGGGGGGGCTGGGGATTTAGCTCAGTGGCACTGCACTTGCCTGGCAAGTACAAGGTCCTGAGTTCGAGTACCAGTACCAGAAAAAAATTTTTTAAATTTGAGATAGGGTCTCACTGAGCCACTAAACTGCCCAGGCTGGCCTTGAACTTGAGATCCTCCTGCATCAGCCTAGGACTATAGGCGTGCACCACCACACCTCGTTCATATGCTCAATTTACAAAGCCATGCTGAACAAAGCTTTAGAACAGCCGAGTTTATTGGCAGCTGAGTGGGATCATGCTACGATCAGCTGCCTAATAATCTCGTTCCATTCATGTTCAATAGAAAATTTCTCCAGTAGTAATATATGTTCAAAGCACAGAACATGATAACCTATGAGCTAATCCAGAGATAACCATTGTGAACACTGGCAGACACCCTTTCAGGAAGCACAGCATTGGAAACCTGAGTGTTGAAACAGGAGGTCCTGAATTCAAATTTGAATGTGAGTCTTAAGTGCATCAGGCTGCATCTTAAGTGCATCAATTTGTTTCATTTGATCTCACAGAGCCATAGTTTTTCACACCTATAAAATGTGGGCAGTAAGAGTTACTATCTCATCGGGTCTTAGAGGATCAATGAGACAACGAACACATACAAAGTGCTTTAGGACAGCCTGACACAGAAGTGTACAAGCATTATTATCTATTCTGCTGTCTATACAATGCATAACCATAATTCATGTCCTCCAAGACCCCTTGAAGACCCTCCTTCCTTTTCTGTATTGGGGATTGAACCCAGGGGTGCTTTACCACTGAGTTACACCCTCAGCCCTTTTTAAAAATTTTTAAATTGGGCTGGGGATTTAGCTCAGTGGTTCTGCTGCCTGCCTCGCAAGCAGAAGGACCTGAGTTCAATCCCTGGTAGCAAAAAAAAAAAATTTTTTTTTATTTTTTATTTTTTTTTTGGTACCAGGGATTGAACTCAGAACCTTGGCTTTCGAAGCAGGTGGTGGAACCACTGAGCTAAATCCCCGGCCCAAAAGTTTTTAAATTTTGAGATAGGGTCTCCCTACATTGCCTAGGCTGGCCTCAAGTTTGCCATCTTCCTGCTTCAGCCTCCTGAGTAGCTGAGATATTTTTGTACCACTGCATCCAACAATACATTTCTTCCCCACCAAATGGTTTCACATCATAAACTCTGTTCCATCCTGCTTCGATCACTCAGGAACGTGTTGCAACTATCCATTTACAAGACTCCGGGTAAAACTGCTGCTGGCATTTCTTCACAGGTTGCCTGTTTTTATAGCGATGACCTCACCGGTCTGAGCAGCACAGCAAGAGAGCGAGAAACAGCAACTGATGCAGGGGAAGGTGGCCATGTAGAGAAGGAGCAGAAGCCAGCTGGCCACTCTGCTCACAGGGACACAGGGACCTCCTACAGGAGGCTGTAACTAGGCAAACCCATCAGGCCCTCTCTAGGGAAGCTGACTACGAAACAGTCAGCAGCCAGGTAGTGAAGCACAAGGCAGAGAAAACACAGGAGAGGAGGTCGAGTAGAGAGGAAGAGCACAGGCCTTGCCCTACGGAAGAGCGCTGCTATGTGACAGCTCAGTGAGCTCTGCTGCATGCCCACTGTCACCCACAGATGCCCGTCCACGGTGACGGGAGCCTGCACACACACTGTGACCCAGGCGTCCAGTTCTGTAAGCCGGGCTAGGCAGCTGCCGGGACACTGTCACATTCTTCTCACTTAACAAGGACCTGAGGATCACGTCCACTCCTGATAGCCCTAAGTGCCTGTCTCAGCTCACTTTTTTTTTTTTGTACAGGGGATCGAACTCAGGACTTTGCACTTGTGAGGCAGGTGGCAGAACCACTGAGCTAAATCCCCGGCCCCTCAGCTTACTTTTGTGGCTACCCTACTGGTCAGATCCACAGCTTTATCTACTGCATTAAACACCTGCTATGTGTTAGCAACAAGGAGGCTGAATTGGCTGGTGCTCGATTTGAAGTATATGACCAGCACCAACCAAATCAGCATGCTGCTTGGACGGTGGACTACAACGCAGACATGCAGCAAGACAAACTCGCTGGAAAGAACTAGAGACTTCGGAGAGGAAGCCATTGCTGCAGCCAGGATCATAAACTCCCCCAATCCCCATGTGTCCAGGCTTGGTCCCCAGCTCAGTGCCCAGGGGTGGCGGAAGCTTTAAGAGGCGAGGCCCAGTGGGGGCCCGGTCCCTTCCCCACCTCTTGGAGAGCGTCTGAAGCTGTGGGTGCTCTCACCACAGGCCCAAAGCCCTGGGGCAAACCCCAAGCCATGAGCCCAGACAGTAAGCTTCTCCCTGTGGAGGGGAAGCAGCTGTGTAAGGCAGCAAGGGACACAGAGGGCACTGAGGTGTCTGGCACAGTGACAACTAACAGAGCCTCCAGTGCATGGCGCCACACTGCTCGCCCCACACCCACTCTTGCCCACTGGGGGCGCAGAGGCCTGGCTGCGCCTGGTGCCAGGGCCGGGTGTGCTACTGGCTGTCCAAGGTCCCAGTCTCAGTTAACGGGATCACTTTCTCTAGAGTTACGGTAAGTATCTTTAATCTTGGAAATATTTAGAATTAAATATAGGAATAAGAAGTAAAATCATAGCAGAAATGGCTTCTTTTTTTTTTTTTTTGGTACTGGGCATGGAACTCGGGTCCTTGCGCTTGTGCAGCAGGCAGCGAAACCACTGAGCTAAATCCCCGGCCCCAAATGGCTTTTGTATTACAGAGATTAGAGCAGGCCCGAGGCCCTAGGTCTTCGCCTCTACCACAAGGATTCCCAGGCAAGGACCTCTTCATTCTGCCCCTCTTGGTGCTGGGTGGTTCTACCCGGCAGCCTCCTCACGGCCCACTAAAAGGCCGTCCACATCCTCTGCCCACGCATCACTTCTGCTACTCTGAATTTGTGCTTTGGGCATTTCTTCAGCACCTGCACCACTGTCCCAGCCACTGTGCTTTCCACTCTCCGAGGTGTGCACGGGGCCCAGAAGAGAAAGTTTTGTGTAGGAAATGACTTGTGCCTGCAGACATTATGTCTAGTTATGGACACTAGGTACAGGTAAGATGAGAGTCCAGAGCAAAGAGAGAGTCCTCAGGTGTTCCATAGTAGGGTTAGTCTAAGGGGACTTCAGCAAGAGCTGACCCAAAGAAATACAGAATTTGGATTTGTTCTAGGTGCCATTTTTTATTTTATTTTATTTTATTTTTTTGGTACCGGTGATCGAACTCGGGTCCTTATGCTTGCACAGCAGGCAGTGAAACCACTGAGCTAAATCCCCGGCCCTTGGTGCCATTTTGTATGTCCCAAGAATCAATCTTAAATGGATTTTAAAAATACTACCTATAAAAAAGTAACTACCTATGGGTGCTAGGGCCAGTACACAGGGACAACAAAACGTACACCACCAAGTTACAAGTCCTAAATGTGCCAATGTGAGTGGAGTGGAGCATAGTATTGTACCAACAGGCTATGGAGAAACACGAGTTCCTTCCCCCTGGTTTTTAAATTGCAATCTATTTGTCAGTCTTCCCCTGAACTCTTGAAATAAGGAACTAAGGGTCCACAACTTGACTTCTGTTTACTCTACAGAGTATCTGGTAAGATACACATGCAAGGCCCAGGAGCTCCATACACATACCCTGGATGTCATGTGACTAAACGAAATAAGAAGACACTGTTATTTCCCAAGCTGCACCATTACCAGCCTGGGTAACACAACTACCCTTTAGCCTCTTCTAATGTGAGAAGTCAGGAAGCACAGGAAAAGAAGGGCCTCTTCCTCTTCCCAAGGTTAATTAGAATGAGCCACTCATACTGACCCAGTCAGCTCCTCTTATTTCCTAGGGTGGATAACTGACCCTCTCTACAGGTAGCAGGCCATGCTGCAAGAGGTCCCTGGGAAGCCACAAAGGACCATGAGGTGCCTCACACACGGCCACCACTGTGACCCTCTTCCTGCACGGAGAGCCCGCTAAGCACTCCCATGTCAGAACTCAATCACACTTGCACCAAGAAGGCTCACAGAAAGCATGAAACGCTGTCTTCGTGCTCACTGGGTGAGCAGGGATAAACTGGAGAAGCGTGCAACAGGACAGCTTTCTCGGCACGTACCTCCTCACACACCTCACGGACGGCTGCCACCCCCGGCTCCTCCTCAGGCTCCATGCCTCCTCCAGGGACAATCCATCGATCTGGGTGGCGACTACTGCTCACCAGCAGCACCTAAAGTTACAGAGGCCAGAAGGGAGGATTAAAAACATAGAAGAACACAGTGAACATGCTCAGAATCCAAACACCACAACACCAAAGTCATCACTAAGCCCATTCTTCATTCATTCCTGTCCAAATCAGTTTCCTTTCATTTCACAAAGAGGAAAGGTATCTGCTGGTAACGACCAATGGCCACTCCCTTGACTCTTTCCTTCCGTTCTTGGTCATTTGTCCGTCTGTCTTCTTGTTCATTTCCCTGAAGCCCTCACAACACACACTTGGCAAGGGGACAAAAAAACTATAAAAATGTTACTGATGAGCCTGCAAGCATCCAAGGCTGGCCAAGGGAAGAGACCCTCACCGTGGCTGTTATCACGAACCCATACTTTCCCTCAAAGGTGCTCATTCCCGTCCCGGCTGCTGTCCCTTCAGGTGGATGCAGCCCACGCAACTCACACTCGAAGCAACTCTCCTGCCCACACAAGAAGCAGCACAATTCCTGTCATCACTCTTGCAGCAGAGATGACACGGAATTTTTCTTTTTCTTTTTCTGGTACTGGGGATCGAACTTGGGTCACTGCGCTTGCTAGGCAGATGGCGGAACCACTGAGCTAAATCCCCGGCCCAACACGGAATTTTTCAACCAGGAAATTTTACTAAGAAATAGAAAACTAGGGCTGGGGATTTAGCTCAGTGGTGTCGCCACTTGCCTCACAAGCGCAAGGTCCTGAGTTCAATCCCCAGTACCAAAAGAAAAAAGAAAAAAACAAAGAAAAAAACCCAGAAAAATTGATACTGAATATAGTTTTAGTAAAAGAAAAACAAGAAAGAATAGTATTATTACTTCAAACTGAGCCAGTATTTTGGTCAATGATGAAATAATTCAGATTTCTCTAGCTGCTTTCCTTACCCCTCTCTGGGACAGATGGAAGCTAAACAAAGTCAGCTGAACGCCACACTTGGATCCAGAGTCCAGCTGACATCACAATGTTTACAAAACTAAGAAAACTCTTAACTGTTTCCTGAAGCGCCATGTTCTGGTGATGTCTTTGCAGCCGCATCGCTACTCCGACCATAATTTTTCCTGAGCACTTAGTTTCTACTGCTGTCACCACTGCTGCCAACAGGAAGGGGCACTCTCTCCGGCCTTCCAGACCACCCACTGCCTCTGGTCAGTGGCCTTCCAGTCATCTCCCCCTCCCCTTTTCATCTCCGCAAGTGCGGGCCCTTGGAAATGCTCCCAGTATCCCTTTCCTCCTGGTCATGACAGATTCTCCTCAGGCTCATCTACAAAACCTGTGACTCCACAGCAGTCACCAATATGCTGCTCACAGCCTGAAAATACACCTGAGACTTACAAGTGCTGTTCTGAAATGTGGGAGCTCTGCTTTGACGAATATAATGCAGAACAATGTAAAATACCACAAAGTCCAGTTTTAGGCTGGTAAGTACATATGTTTGATGAGCGGGCAAAGGCCCAAATTAAATGTAAGGGGTAAAACTAAAAACAAAAACAGATGTGACTCTTCACAATTGTGGACTTGGAGAGATATCCCAAAACTCTTATATATGACACCAAAAGCATGGTGCTGTCAACAAAATAAGATAAACTGGACGTCATCAAAATTTAAAATTTTTATGCATCAAAGGAGATTAGGAAGAATGTGAAAAGCTGACCTACAGAATTGGGAGGAAGTATGTGCAAATCACATACCTAATAAAGGTCTGGCATCTAAAATACGTAAAGAACTCTTACAGTTCAACAAAACGACCTTTTCTCCACAGACACACACATGGCTGAAGAGCATGTGAAGAGGGCTGGCACCATCAGTCACTCGGAAAACACGAAGGACAGCCATGAGGAGACGCTGCTTGTGCCGGCAAGGGTGTGCAGAAACCAGAGGCACTGACACTGCTAGCAGGAAAGGAAAATGATTCAGCTGCTATGGAAAAGTCTGGTGGTGACTAAGAAACTTAACATAAACTGCCAGGTGTTGTGGCGCAAGCCTGGAATCCCAGCACTAGGTGAGACTGAGGCAGGAGGATCATGAGTTCAAGCCCATCCTGGGCAACTCAGCAAGACCCTGTCTCAAAATAAAAAAATTAAAAATTAAAAAAGGGGCTGGGGATGTAGCTCAGGGTGAAGGCCCTGAGTTCACTTTCCAGTACTTCAAAAAAAAATTAAAAATATAAATCACCACTGATTTAGTAATTAAACTCCTAGGTACATACACGAAAAAACTGAAAATAAGCACTCAAATACTTGGACACATATATATACAGCACCACTACTTATAACAGCCAAAAGGTAGAAATAATCCAAATTTCCACCAGTGGATGGATGAAGGAAGGAATAAAATGGGCACACAGATTGGGTGTGGTGGTGCATGCCTGTAATCCCAGAAAGCTGGAAAGCTGAGGCAGGAGGATCATAAGTTCAAATCCAGCCGGGGCAATTTGGTGACTGAGACCTTATCTTAAAAAAAAAAACAAAAACTGGGCATGGTGGTACCTAGCACCTAAGAGGCGGAGGCATGAGGATCGCAGTGAGGTTGAGGCCAGCCTGAAGTACATGGCGAGGCCCTGTCTCAAAGACAAAACAAAACAAAACAGCTGGGGATGCAGGTCAGTGTGAAGGCCCAGGTTTTAATCCCCAGTGTGACAAAAACACCCAAACAAACCTGGCACGCACACACAGAAAAATAGTGTTTGGCCATAAAAAAGAGTGAATGACACATGTACAACATGAATGGACCCTGAAAACACTACACTACACGAAAGAATCCAGACACAACAAAATACCTGATCCAGTTTACATGAAGGATGCAGAAGAGGTAAATTCACATGAACAGGAAGTGGATCGATGGTTGCTGGGACAGCAGGAGGTGGAAAATGGGTAGCATAACAAGTACATGGGGTTTTTTTGAGGTGAGGAAAGTGTTTTGAAATCAAGTAAGAAGCAGTGGCAGCACAATTCATAATAACTAAATCTTGGAAGCAGCCTACATGTTCCCATCAACAGAGAAATGGATAAAGAAAATGTGGCATTTACACACAATGGAGCACTACTCTGCCATAAAGAAGGCCACACTGAGGCATCTTAGGAAAATGGATGTGCCCTGAGACTGCAATGTGCAGTGAAGTCAATCACACACAAGCTTAAACACCGCGTTTCTTTTATACGAGAAACCCGAACTATAGAGGGCACAATGGAAGACAGTTAATAGGAAGGAGGGAGACAGATCATTTTTAAATAGGAGGGGATCAGGAGATGGAGGGAGGGGCAAAGGAGGAAAGGAAAAGGGATGAAAAGAAGCACTGAGACACGTCACGGGCATGCACCACCTCCACACAAGGAATGTGAACACCATGCACTGCAAACACGCACCTGCAAAAAACAAAAACTGAAAAAAAAAGAATACTATGTATTCTCCCCCCCCCAAAAAAAAGCAATGCACCCTAAAAGCCAATAAACTGCTCATTCTAAACTAGTAAATTTGGGATGGGGATGCCTGGCAAGTGTGAGGTCCCGAGGAAAAAAAGGTTAACTTCATATTATACAAATTTCTTTTCTTTTTTTTGGTACTGGGCATCAAACTCAGGATCTCGTGTTCGCGAGGCAGACGAGGTGCCACTGAGCTAAATCCCCAGACCAGAAATTCTTGTTCTGAAACTTGATTTCTGAGATATAAAAAGGAAATCAACTGGCAAAGCTCCTAAAGGATCCTAAAAATGACACACAAGGGGAAATACACATCCCCCCAGTTGTCATTTATTCAACAAATGTTCACTAAGCACCACGAGGAAGCAGGAAGCAGAAGCAGATGGCAGTGCTGTGACAGTGAGGCGGCCAGGCATCCGGGCTCCAGACAGGGAGTCAGAGAGGGGCGGCCAGGCGCCCACAGGCCGACTCCTACACTCATGGTACCGGGCTCTGCACAACAAGCCAACAGCAACAAGGAGGGCAGGGACAGCTTGTTTTCCACATGGACACAGGGGGAATCACTGTGCTGATCAGGGTTACACGTGTATGGTGACACCATAAAGAAATGCGTGGGAAGGACGGATGTAATGGGGGAATTTGTATTAAGACTTTTTTTTTGTTACCGGGGATCAAAGACTTTTAAAAATACTGCTTAATTCAAATGTTTTTTTAAAAACATAAAAGAAAGCCATAGTCCCTGCCCTAAAGGAACTGAATATCCAGTGGAGAAAGAAAAAGAGTAATTACGGGAGAAAGAGTTTTGGTGGAGGCACTGGGAGAGACCCTAATCAGGATGGGGCAGGGAAGAATACAGTGAGGGATGTCAGCTCCTTTTATTAAGCGACTTAGGGGAATCCCACTCAAGGAGGATATTTATTCAACAACAAACGTCGTACTATGCCTAGCGTGCTGCCCCTGCGCCTGAATGCAGAAGCATCAGCCCTTGAGAAGTTTGAAGGCAGGTGACTGACTGCTCTCAGTAACCTCACCAGACACCCCGCACCCCCCCGAAGCCGCCCCTTGCTGGGGGGAAGAGGGGGCAGTAGCCTGGCTGAGGAAATGTAAGAAGGGACAGGTGTCACTCCTTCCCTCTCATCCTCTGCCACAGTACCAAGTCAGGGAAGCTACAAGCCAGGGCCTCCAACTGGAGGAGAATTTCTGCATAGCATAAGGCCTCTGAAAACACATGACAGGAACTAGAACAAGGAATGAGTGTGGTGTAGTGGTCTGTAATCACAGAACTTTGGGGTTTGTTTTCTTTTTTTGGTACCAGGGATTGAACTCAGGTCCTCACGCCTTCGAGGCAGACAGAGGAACCACTGAGCTAAATCTCCGGCCCAATCACAGAACTTTGGGAGGCTGAGGCAGGAGAACTGCAATTTTAGCCCTCGATGGGCAACTCAATGACTGAGACCTGTCTCAAAATAAAAAGTAAATTTAACCCGAGTTCGATCCCCGGTACCAAAAAAAAAAAAAAAAAAAAAAAGTAAATTTAAAAAGGGGTGGGGATATAGTTCAGTGTGAAGTC